CGGCCCCAAGGGTACTTCTTGTAACTGATGCAGCAAGGCCTGCTGTGAAAGAACAGACTGTGTGGACAGATGTGCTTGTGTGGGGCCAGATCTGAGTGTTTCTGTGATTCATGGATACCATCTCCATGAGCCATAGGCAGGCTGGCATCTAGTGATCTGCCTGTTTACAGGCTCCCAAGTGCTGGGATACAGGCGTGGCCCACCACACACTGTCGCAATTGCTTCCAAGTCTCAATTGCGGTCTCAGCACACCCTGGGGGTGGGGCCAGCATGGCAGGCCCAGGGATCGAATCCTGGCCCCTGCACCTGCAGGTGCTTTAGTCCGCTGAGCTATATGGCCGGCCCTACACTCTGTGTTCTAAAGGACTTGCCTTAAGCGCGAGAGGCAGAGCGGTTGGATGTTGTGTGCGGCGTAGGCGGGTGCTCCTGGGACAACCGCTGCCCTATTTTGGATGCGGCTCACCATGGGGCACCTCCTTTGCAGGCAGTCATACTAATCCTACAGTCTCCGTGGCTGCCTGTAGCTCACACAGGTCACCTAGTCTCAGCTCCCAGGAGGCTTTTTTTTCCAGTTTGCAGGCTGCAGCCGCAGCTGACAGCCTCTGAGGGTGTCCTCAGGCCTGACTGGCCCATGCCAGAGCTCGTGGGAAGAGCAATGGGGTCTGGTCTAGGAAGATAGGGGCGGTTGTTCCAGGATCTGCTCTGGAGCCTATGGGGGCTCCTGCATGAGATACCCCTTCCCTTAAAGGGAGCCCTTTGCTATCATGCTGTGTCCCTCCACTTCATCCCCTCTCTGACTGTCAGCACAATGGAATTAATTACATGTTGAATTTTTGTAAAAAAAAAAAAAAAAGAAAGAAAGAAAACCCAAACTCAAAAGATAAATAAAAATTTAAGAACACAAATCAGTTTCAAGAATTATAGTTACTTTTGTCAACATAAAAATTAAAGCATAAAAATTAAATTATAATATGCTAAATTATTTTTCCCTTCTGCCTTAGTGATAACCATAATGTAAAAAATAGACTTTCATCTTCTATCAGGAAATGTCAGTCGAAAATTCAGAGAGGTGTTTATTGTCATGAAGGAGACATCATTAGCAAAAAGTCAATTATAACAATCTGAGGAGGAATCTGTTGATTAAATTTTCACAAGATCTTTGGAATATTTGTCTTTTTCTTTAGCCATACCATGTACTATATAAATATTTATATTTGTGTCGTCTAATATTTTTTGCATGTATCTATGTTAAATATATAAACTGAATGATTTCTCAAAGAAATCACTTTTATATTTATTTTTTTCTTCTATATTTAATTGCCCTTAAGACTAGCAGTTTTCAGAGCACAGCATAATCCTCCTTTTTTTATTTTAGATGCATTTGGTACAGGAGCGCCAGGGTCTCACTGCACAGACCACACTCTTGGTGACCCTCCTGTTTTCAGCCTCCCAAGTGCTGGGATTACAGGCGCGCACCACTGCGCCATCTCGGTCCCCGTCTCAGTGCGCCCTGGGGGCGGGCCCAGCACAGCACACTGGGAATCGAACCCCGGCTGCTGGGCCCCCCTCAGTGGGTGCTTTAGTCAGCTGAGCTATCTGGCTGGCCCTCATAATCCCTTTTTTTAAACAATTTAACTTGAAATTCCAATATTAACAAAGCAGAACTACAATTCTATAGTTTACTTTATATCCTCATTTGTGACACTTCTCAGAGCTGCTCTCAGAAACAGTTAAGCTGCCTTGATATATGCACATTTGAAATTAGAGGGTGATAGAAGGCCAGGGTGGTTTTTATAAGCCTCAGTAGTGTTTGCTTCTTCAAATTACATAATATCAAGAAAATCCTGAATCTCAAAATCAGCTGTTGAAAATGGTAACTTTGGTAACTTTTTTAAATAAATCAGACCGACATGTGGAAACACCATATAGTTCCCAGGTGTGGGAAGCTGAACAAGTAA